GAGGTTGCTGTGACCTGTGATGCCAAAGCACTCTACTGAGGGCAACATAGGTAGACTCTGTTTCAAAAAAAAAAAAAGACTGATATTACATTCTAACTAGGTAGCTAGATAATAAACAAGTAACAAATTTGGATAATAGTAAGCCTATGAAGAAAATAAGGTACTATAAAAGAAAACAAATGAGAAAACAATGTACAACACATATTATGGTGATTGACAATTTAACAGTAGAAGTTTCTAGATGATTTCTCCAACTATAACGCTTCCATGAAGATTATAACAAAATGCAAATTAAATCTATGTAAAATAAATCTGAAAATAAATCTGTGGTTGCCTGGGAATGGGGGAACAGGGCAAAAATTAAGGTCCATTGGTCTACCCTGCACTTAGGATGAATCTTCTTTAGGAATCATGTTGTGATATCATGTACTGGTCATTTGTGGATGACATTTAGTTCACTGAGTTTCAGTTCACTGAATTTAACAGATTGCACAAATGCTTACATATTTACAATATTAAAAAGTCACATTCTATAATGTCACCACCAATTTCATTAGAAAAGTCTGCATCAGAAAACTGTCAAGCTCACAGTGGTATATACTGTTTCAATGTTCTGATTTTTACTTGAAAGCTTAAATTTTATCCTGTTCACTTTATTATCAAGAATTACCATAGTTATCATGTAATTCATTCTTTCAAGTAAAAACGATGTTCCATGGGAAAAAGTGGTTAGTTTAGTTCATAATCCAAACTATCCTACAAGTGCTTTTCCCCAAGACAACCATCTTCTGTATGCAAAGTATTTTATGAAGACTAGTCATTTCTTTTCACAGAATATTAAAAATCTAAAGCATTAAGATTTATTTTATTATTTATTCATTTATTTTAGAGACAGGGTCTCACTCTGTCACCCAGGTTGGAGTGCAGTACAATGGTATGATACTAGCTCATTATAACCTCAAACTTCTGAGCTTAACCAATCCTCTTTCTGAGCCTCCCAAGTAGCTAGGTTATAGGCACATGCCACCACCATTGCCTAATGTTTCTATTTTCTGTAAAGACAGGAGCTGGCTATATTGCCCATGCTAATCTCAAACTCTGAGCTACAAATGAGTCTCCTGCTTTGGCCTCCCAAAGTGCTGGGTTTTCACAGGCATGAAGCACCGTGCCCAGCCATGAAGGGTTGAGATCTAATAAAATTAGTAATTCTACTGCTTCCTGAAAGACATTCTTAAATGAAACTGACTTTATTTTTTAACTGTGACTAAATGACAGTGAAAAAAGTTACTATTAATACAGGTTGAAAAACTAAGCTCAGGCTCGGCGCCTGTGGCTGAAGTGGCTAAGGCACCAGCCATATGCACCTAAGGTGGCGGGTTCAAATCCAGCCTGGGCCCACCAAACAACGATGGCTGCAACCAAAAAATAGCCAGGTGTTGTGGTGGGCGCCTGCAGTCCCAGCTACTTGGGAGGCAGAGGCAGGAGACTCGCTTGAGCCCAGGAGTTGGAGGTTGCTGTGAGCTGTGATGCCACAGCACTCTACCCAGGGGGACAGCTTGAGGCTCTGTCTCAAAAAAAAAAAAAAAATGAAAGAAAAACTAAGCTCAATGGTACACACCTATAGTCCCAGATGCTTGGGAGAATGAAGGAGGAGGTTCACTCGAGAATGGCTTGAGCCCAGAAGTTTGAAGCTACCATGAGCTATGATTGCACCACCCAACACCAGGCTGAGCAACAGAATGAGACCCCACCTCTAAAAAATATATATTCTAAAAGGTAGAACAGAAGGAAAAAGAACTTTCAGATCTCTCTATAGTCCAGCTCTGTCATTTTATATATAAGGAACTGAAACAGAGAAAATAAGGTTTACCCTCTCCTACATTAGTTAGTAGAGATGTGATAGCATTTAGGACCTCTGAGTTTTCTAGTGCTCTTTGTCTTAACATATACTATTCTTCCTCTTTCTTTCATTTTTTTGGAAACAACACCTCACTCTGTCACCTTGGATAGTGTGCTGGCATCATAGCTCACAGCAACCTCAAACTCTTGGGCTCAAGCTATACTCTTTTTTTTGAGACAGCCTCAAGCTATCCCCCTGGATAGAGTGCCGTGGCATCACAGCTCACAGCAACCTACAACTCCTGGGCTTAAGCAATTCTCTTGCCTCAGCCTCCCAAGTAGCTAGGACTAAAGGCACCTGCCACAACACGCAGCTATTTTTCGGTTGTAGTTGTCTTTGTTGTTTGGCAGGCCCGACCTGGATTTGAACCCAACAGCTCTGGTGAATGTGGCTGGTGTCTTAGCCGCTTGAGCTACAGGCGTTGAGCGCTCAAGCTACCCTCTTGCCTCAGCCTCCCAAGTAGCTGGGACCATTAGGTACCAGCCAGAACACCTGGCTAGTTTTTCTATATTTAATAGAGACGAGGGTTTTATTCTTGCTCAGGCTGGCATCAAACTCCTGAGCTCAAGCCATTCACCACCCTCAGCCTCCCAAAATGCTAGGATTATAGGTGTGAGCCACTGCACCCAGCTTTCTTCCTTTTTACAAAAATGGATTTAGAAAGTTCCAAATCTTCTTTCTTTATGTTTAAACTAAACAATGGCATAAATACATACATTTTGTGGAGAAAAGGAGTTTATTTTTCCTAAAGGAGATTTGGGATCCATGGTCTTTCCAGAAGCAACTTTTGTATCCAAATGGTGCCCTTCCTTTTCAAAACAATGACGTTTTCTAATCTGTAAACACAGAACCAAAATGAAGTTTAACATAAACTAAAAGTTTGACAGGCTAGTTATTCTCCAACATCAAAAGAACTCTAAGGATTTTCTTCTGCATTCAAAAACAAAAAGACTTTCTAAATAACAATGATCAAATAATTTTTCAAAACCACAAACAGGGTCAGGAGTGGTGGCTCATGCCTGTAATCTCAGCACTTTGGGAAGCTGAGTCAGGAGGAACCCTTCAGGCCAGAAGTTTGAGACAGACCTAAACAACAAAATGAGATCCTGTCTCTACAAAAAAAGTTTTAAAAAATTTAGTTAGTGTGATTGACCCTGCCTTGTAGTCCCAGCTACTCAGGGGGCTGAGGTGGGAAGATTACTTAAGCCCAGAAGTTCTGACGTTACCATGAACACTCCTCCCCAAGTGACAGAGAGAGACTGTCTCAAACAAAACAAACAAACCAAAAAAAACCCCACACAAATAATCACCCCATTATAACACTTAAATGAAATAAAATAATAACTCATAAATCCTAACCAAAATAACTTTAATAAAGGACATATCAAAATTATAATATTGTAAAATGCTCTCCCCATAAAATAGTCCCACCATATGGATATCCAGAATAGTACTATAGCCAAGACCTATCATATATCTAATTGGAAAATAAGTCAAAATTTAAGCATAATTGTACATTTAAAAAAACTCAATAAAATATTTAAATGTAAACAGTGATGATTGCCTACCTGATAGGATGAATTACTTGATTACTATTACTGTATGTGACAAACCAACTTGTCTTTTATTAAATTTCCTTCATAAGTTATACTGAGTATTCTTTCCACTCTATATATATACTTTTTCTGACGTACCAAAGACCTATTTACTAATGTTATAAGGAGAAAAAAAAAAGCATTTCTACTGATAATACCATTCTTACCAAAAATAAAATGAGAACCATGAAGTCAGGGAATGTTTTACCTTGAGCTCTACCACATGACATTGCAACTCTATGTACATATTTAGGGGAGAAGGGGAAAGATTAGAATCTCTATAAATTCATATTCATTTGTAATAAAATAGCTCATTCTATTCTAAGACCAAAGTTTTATTACAGAAATTAAAGAATATTGCAAGTGAGGCCAGGGGCAGTAGCTCATGCCTATAATCCCAGCACTCTGGGAGGCCCCTTGAACTCAGGGGTTCAATACTAGCCTGAGCAAGACTGAGATTCTGTCTCTACTAAAAATAGAAAAAATTAGCTGGGTGTTGTGGCAAGAACCTGTAGCCCCATCTACCTGGAAGGCTGAGGCAGGAGGCTTGCTTGAACCCAGAGTTTGAGGTTGCTGTGAACTAGGCTGCAGCTACAACCTTCTAACTTGGGCAACAGACTGAGACTCCGTCTTGAAATAAATGAATAAATAAATAAATAGATAAATTCCAAGTAGAACAGTTAAACTACATATGGGTGCAAACACCTTTAGTATACTCAACTAAAAGTATCTGATTGCTTACCTATAAATAACACACTAATTAATAATCATCTTTTTTATCTGTAATCAAATCTACTAAAATCCCTGCCTCCCTACCTCACTGCCATGAATTCTGGGAAAACATTGTGTCTATCCATGAGAAGTAAATCTCATCTAAAATTTCTGGTAATTCACATCACTTAGTAACTTTTAGAACTATACACATTTTATCATGTATTGCTCTTAAAAGCTCAAGTAAAAATAAACCAGGCCAGGTGCAGTGGCTCATGCCTGTAATCCTGGCACATTGGGAGGCCTGGAGGGGGAAGGTTTGCTTTAGGACAGGAATTTGAGACCAGCCAGGGCAAGAGCAAGACCCCATCTCTACAAAAAATAGAAAAATAAGCCAAGGGTGGTAGCATGCATCTATAGTCCCAAGTAGGAGGCCAAGGCAGGAGGATCACTTAAACCCAGGAGTCTGAGGTTGCAGTGAGCTATGATAATACCACTGCACTCTATCACAGGCAACAGAGTGAGATGATATCCATTAAGCAAGTATTTCACTATTAAATGTCTCCTATGTAAAAACCACCATGCAGTTTTACTATGAATAATCCACTATATTAGCAAACTCTTTTATAACAAGTATCTATACAAAATGAAATTACAACAAATAACTGTTTACTCTATGGCTACATCATAACCCAACTAATCTCCACAAATGCATTGAAAACTTGATTGATACTTGACTCCCATCTTTGGCTATAAATAACTGGATTATTTTACTACCAATAAACTCTGTTTACCTGCTGTGTAGTTTCCAAGCGTCGAATTCTTTTCTTCTCTATTTGAAAATCATCATTTTCATCTCTGTACATGGATGCCTGTTTCTTGGCAGATAACTTTGCAGCCAGAGTGGTTTTTTCAGGAGAGTCTTACATAAGAATAAAAAATTAGCATAAATAATTTACATTTTGGCAATTTTTCCAGAAGAAAATTAGAACCAAGATGTAAGATACTTCTAAAAATTTCATCCCATAGTTTAAAAAATAAAACACTAACCATGTTTAAAAAGCACTTCTTTACCACTCGGTTTACTTTACCAAAGACACAGCAAACACTTTGAGAAATATGCTTTCAATACGAAAAGCCCAGTTTTGATTTTTTAAAAGCTTTATGTGTTTGTAGACTATTCTCAATAACATGATTTAAGAAACATAACTGTTGGTGTGCTCCCAATGAATGGGTACAATGTAAAGGTACATGGTACACCTCCTGGGTTTGGGACACAACTACAACAGGCACCTTACCTAACAAACACAAACACTGTAACCTAAACATTTGTACCCTCATATTAATCTGAAATTTTAAAAAAAGAAATGTAACTATAAGATTCTCTCAAAAGATTATATTTCATTTCCATAAAACTCTTTAAAGCTTCTCAATATTCCTTTCCTACTAAAGTTCTTCATGTTCTTTAGACTAAAAATATTGCTTATAGAATCAAGCTCATATAATGTATCTCTTAATTCCACGGTCCTGAAAGCTCATTCTCAACCTCATCAACAACAAATAATGTTAATTAACCCCATTTAACACATGTGAACACGAAGTTTTAAAGAAATCAAGTATCTTAGCCAATATCATATAGCTACCAAGTGACAGAGCTTAGATGTGACTAAATTGAATCCTGCTGTCTGACTCCAAAGTCCATAAATATAACCTCTGGGCATACGGCCAAAACTAACACCCAGTATTCTTGGATCACAGAATCTACATCTTCTTCCTTAATGTCTAACACTGTTCTTAACTATTCCTATACATTGCTTTTTCCCATTTCCTAAATGTGAGTGTTCTTAAAGGTATCTTCCTTCCTCGTTGCTCCTCTCTACACATTCTCTGCACTCCCATACCTTGAATTCATTTAACTTTTATTACATTGAGTTCATACAGTGGCCAGATATCATGGAAAAACAACAAAAAAGAAACAACGCTTAGCCTTAAAGGATTCCCAGACTATGGGAAAGACTTATATGAGCAGGTCCAATACTGTTTTCAAGAAGTTAAGTTTAAATATACACATAGGCAGCACATTTCTTAAAACTGATCAAAGCCATCTACGACATACTCACAGCTAATATTATACTGAATGATGTAAAACTGAAAGCTTTTCCAGTTAGAACCAGAACCAGACAAGGTTGTCCTCTATCGCCACTACTATTCAACATAGTACTGGAAGTTCTAGCTAATACAATCAGGCAAGAGAAGGAAATAAAGGGCATCCAAATGGGGGTAGAGGAGGTCAAACTCTCCCTCTTGGCGGATGATATGACCTTATACTTAGAGAACCCTAAAGACTCAACCACAAGACTCCTGGAAATGATCAAAAATATATAGCAATGTCTCAGGATATAAAATCAATGTCAACAAATCAGTAGCCTTTGTATATGCCCTTAACAGCCAAGATGAGAAGCCAAGCAAAGACATAATTCCCTTTATGGTAGCTTCAAAAAAAAAAAAAAGAAAAGAAAGTAAGAAATACAGAGGAATACACCTAACTAAAGAAGTGAAGGAGGGTGGCGCCTGTGGCTCAAAGGAGTAGGGCGCCAGCCCCATATGCCAGAGATGGCTGGTTCAAACCCAGCCCTGGCCAAAAAAAAAAAAAAAAGTCCAGTAAAGAGAAGTTATCAAATTTAAAAAAAAAAAAAAAATAGGTGAAGGACCTCTACAAAGATAATTACAAAAAATCCTAAGAAAAGAAATAGCAAAAGATATTAACAAATGGAAGAACATACCATGCTCATGGCTGGGAAGAATCAATATTGTTGAAATGTGTATACTTCCCAAAGCAATCTACAGATTCAATGAAATCCCCATTAAAATACCATCATCAGGCTCGGCACCTGTGGCTCAAGCAGCTAAGGCGCCAGCCACATACACCTAAGGTGGCGAATCCCCAGCCCGGGCCCGCCAAACAACAATGATGGCTGCAACCAAAAAATGGCCAGGCATTGTGGCGGGCACCTGTGGTCCCAGCTACTTGGCAGGCTGAGGCAGGAGACTCGCTTGAGCCCAGGAGTTGGAGGTTGCTGTGAGCGTGATGCCATGGCACTCTACCCAGGGGAATAGCTTGAGGCTCCGTCTCAAAACAAAAAAAAAACAAAAAAACAAAAAAACCATCATCACACTTTTGAGATTGGAAAAAAATAATTCCTCGTTTTGAATAGAACCAGAAAAAAACCCACATAGCCAAGACAATTCTTACTAATAAAAACAAATCCGGGGGTATCACCCTACTAGACTTAAGCTATCCTACAAGGCCACAGTGATCCAAAACAGCATGGTATTGGCACAAAAATAGAGACATAACTATTTGGGACCAAATAGAAAACCATAAGATGAAACTAACAACTTATAGTCACTTGATCACTGATAAACCAAACAAGAACATATACTATGTTAAAGAATCCCTATTCAATAAATGGTGCTAGGAGAACTGGATAACCACATGTAAAAGACTGAAACTGGACCTGCACCTCTCACCACTTATAAAAATTGATTCAAGATGTATAAAAGATTTAAATCTAAGGCATGAAAGAATAAAAATCCTTGAAGAAAGTGTGAGGAATATATTTGAAGATATTAGCCTGGGGAAAGATTTTATGAAGATTTCTATGACAATTGCAAGAACAACAAAAATAAACAAATGGGACTTAATTAAACTGAAAAGCTTCTGTACAGCTAAGGAAACAACAAAGAAAGCAACAGATGAAAAGATATTTGCCTATTATGAATTAGACAAAAGCTTGATAACTAGTATCTATAGAGAACTCAAATTAATCAACAACAAAAGACCCAACAATCCCATTAATCACCGGGCAAGGGACATGAATAGAACCTTCTCTAAAGGAAACGAATGGCTAATGAACATATGAAAAAACACTCATTGTCCCTAACTATCAAAGAAATGCAATGATATCTCAGGTATCTCAAAGCTACAGATGCTGGTGTGGATGTGGAGAGAAGGGAACACTTTTACACTGCTGGTGAGACTGCAAACTAATACAATCTTTTTGGAAGGAAGTGTGGAGAATCCTCAAAGAACTCTAATTAGAACTCCCATTTGATCCTGCAATCCCATTGCTAAGCATCTACCCAGAACAAACAAATCCTTTTATCATGAGGACATTTGCACTAGACTGTTTATCACAGCTCAATCACCAAACTGGGGAAACAGCCTAAATTCCCACCAACCCAGCGGTAGATTAACAAGCTGTGGTATATGTATACCGTGGAATACTGTTTAGCCATTAAAAAAGATGGAGACTTTTGTATTAACCTGGATTGGGGTGAAACACATTCTTCTTAGTAATGCATCACAAGAATGGAGACACAAGTATTCAATGTACTGAATTCTAATATGAAGGCAGTAGATGATCTAATGCAAGGTGAGGAGTAGGGGAAGGAGGGAGAGGAGATGGTGGGATCATGGCGTATATATGGCCCACCTCTTGGAAAGAACACAATTATAAGAGGAACTTTACCTAACAAATGCAATAGTGTAACCTAACTCTTTGTACCCTCAATGAATCCCAAACAATAAAAAATAAAAATAAAGTAAAAAATAAATTATGTTAAAAAAATAAAAAACTTCTAAAAAAGAGAAATAAGTTTAAACCTATATAAACACATAGGTGAACCTATGCCATACAGAATTGGTTCTCAAGTTTTTTCTAAGGAGTAGGACTCTTTTTTTTAGAGAATATTGCTCAAAATTTCCAAAATAGAAAATTAAAGCTCTAGAATTTCCTTGATCCACTAGTCCCTTCCCATTACAAGCCATGTTTCTTCCTAAGGTTCTTAGGAACACAGTTTGAAAACCACTATATTCTGGGGTGGCACCTGTGGCTCAAAGGAGTAGGGCGCCAGCCCCATATGCTGGAGGTGGCGGGTTCAAACCCAGCCCCAGCCAAAAACTGCAAAAAGAAAAAAAAAAGTTAGAAAACCACTATATTCTCAAATCTTAATAATTTTGCCTTTCATATCTAGGTCTTAAATCTAGAAGGTGTGTTTATGTGTTGTGTGAAGTAAGGCTCTAATTTTCAATTTTCCACATGGGTATCTAATAGACCCAGAACATCAGTAAGACCCTCCTTCCTGTGCTTGCTTCAGCAGCACATATACTAAAAAATTGGAATGATACAGAGAAGATTAGCATAGCCCCTGCACAAGGATGACACACATATTCGTGAAGCATTCCATATTAAAAAAAAAAAAAAAAGATCCTCCTTCCCCCTATCTCTATAGGAGCAGCACTTCCTGAAAAATATCAAGTTTCTAGATACACATGGGACTGAATTTGGGTTCTCTATACTGCTACTTTGGTCTGTTAATGTGCTAACAGCAGACTGTCTTAATTACTATAGCTTTGTATATAATAAATCAGGGTATTTGTTTTTTGGGTTTTTTTTTTTTTTTTAAGAGACAAAAGTCTTAATTTATTGCCCTCAGTGGAGTGCCGTGGCATTACACTCACAGCAACCTCCATCTCCTGGATTTAGGCAATTCTCTAGCCTCAGCCTCCTGAGTAGCTAGGACTATAGGTGCCCGCCACAACACCGGGCTATTTTTTTGTTGCAGTTTGGCCAGGGCCAGTTTCAAACCCACCAGCCTCAGTATATGGGGCCGGTGCCCTACCCACTGAGTCACAGGCACTGCCCTAAATCAGAATATTTGTTAGATCAAGTCTATCACCTTGACCTGCTTCTTCAGAAGTGGCTATTCTTAATCTTTTCCATTTCCGTATATATTTTACATAAGACATGTAATTTTGAACTCTGCATTTCCAAGCAAACCACAAAACCTAGATAAGTGATTCTCAACTACGGCAATCTTAACACCACCACTTCCCATCCTGGGGACACTGAGCAATGT